TTGGACCATTTAGCGTAGATACATGCAATAAAAATTGTAAAGGTCTATTGAATAGAAGACTAGTAGCAAATGAAAGGATGTCATCCCATGTATGTTGCTCATCTTTGGCACTCAGAAGTAATTGACAGATAGTCACTCAGCCTCAATTGTGTTAGGGGCTGGAGAATGGATTGAATGAAAACTATGAGCTCTGAATTATGACTATGATAAAATTAAAACTTTATATTACAACCAGTGCTTATGATTCTGAGGAAAATACTGAATTCTCAGTGAGTTCAAATTTGATGTAAATTTGATATTTTCTATTTAAACATATTAAACATACATTTTCATTGTTAAAATAATGTAGTTAATGAATTAAATTCTGTGAATATGTAAATAATGACAGCATAAACATATTGTAAAAGGCAGGTAATTTTAATCATATTTAAGATGTATGTAAAGGCCAGGTACGGTGGCTCACATCTGTAATCTCAACACTTTACAAGGCTGAGGCAGGAGGATGGCTTGAGTACAGGAGTTTGAGACTAGCCTGGGCAACATAGGGAAACCTTATCTCTACAAAAAATAAAATAAAATAAAAATTAACCTGGCATGGTGGCACGTGCCTGTAGTCCCAGCTACTCGGGAGGCTGAGATGGGAGGATCGGTCAAGCCTGGGAGGTCGAGGCTGCAGTGAGCCATGATTGCACCACTGCAGTCCTGCCTGGATGACAGAGACCCTGTCTCAAAGAAAAAAAAGATGTATATAAAAATCTTTGTTACCTTATTGTATAACTTTCAAAAATATTGCTGATATTTTAATGGTCAGTAATCTTTGAAAATATGTAGCTCACTTAGTAGCTCATTTCTTCATTGTTTTCTGATGGCCTGTATCATCTCCATAGTTTTTGGGGCTAATTTTTTTCTGCACTTTCCACTTTTACAAGTAGTTCTGTCTTCTGTCAGAACAGAGTGGAATTTTGATTTAGATCTCAGTGGGGAGACTTCAAGTCTTGTACCTGAATACCGATCAGAAGTTATACAGAAAAAAATCAATAATTCAGAGACTGAAGTGTTTCAATTTTCATTAAATAAACCAGAAAGAAGTTAAAGAGGAGACATGTTCAAGTTCAATTAAACCAATTTTTATGAAGCTTATGGTTCATCCAACATACCACCTTGTGTCTGCCCATAGTCCCCTCTCCTTCTAGATAATTTGCTGAAATTACATCTCAGACACAATCATTTGCTTCGTTGTAACTAAATACTTCACTTTACTTCACTGTTATTTATAAGGTCCGTTTTGGACTTCGTTTATTTGTAATCATCTAGCAATCAAATAAATGCATCTGCCACTCTCGCCACTCCTCTTCAACATAGTAGTAGAAGTCCTAGCCAGAGCAGTCAGACAAGAGAAAGAAATAAAGGGTATCCAAATCGGTAAAGAGGAAGTCACACTGTCAGTGTTTACTGACTGTATGATCATTTACCTTCAAAACCCTAAAGACTCCTCCAGAAAGCTTCTAGAACTGATAAAATAATTCAGCAAAGTTTCCAGATACAAGATTAATGTACGCAAATCAGTAGCTTTTCTATATAACAACAGTGACCAAGCAGAGAATCAAATCAAGAACTCAACCCCTTTTACAATAGCTGCAAAATAAATAAATAAATAAAATAAAACAACAACAACAAAAAGTTAGGAATATACCTAACCAAGGAGTCGAAAGACCTCTCCAAGGAAAACTACAAAACACTGCTGAAAGAAATCATAGATGACACAAACAAATGGAAACACATCCCATACTCAAAGATGGGTAGAATCAGTATTGTGAAAATGACCATACTGCCAAAAGCAATCTACAAATTCAATGCAATTCACATCAAAATATTGGCATCATTCTTCACAGAATTAGAAAAAAACAATTCCAAAATTCACGTGGAACCAAAAAGGAGCCTGCACAGCCAAAGTAAGACTAAACAAAAAAGAACAAATCTGGAGGCATCACGCTACCTGATTTCAAACTATACTAAAAGTCCATAGTCACCAAAACAGCATGGTACTGGTATAAATATAGGCACATAGACCAATGGAACAGAATAGAGAACCTAGAAATAAACCAAAATACTTAAAGCTAACCAATCTTCAACAAAGCAAACGAAAACATAAAGTCAGGAAAGGACACCCTTTTTAACAAATGGTGCTGAGATAATTGGGTAGCCACATGTAGGAGAATGAAATTGGACCCTCATTTTTCACCTTGTACAAAAACCAACTAAAGATGGATTAAAGACTTAAACCTAAGACATGAAACTATAAAAATTCTAGAAGATAGCATTGGAAAAACCTTTCTAGACATTGGCTTAGGCAAGGATTTCATGACCAAGAACCCAAAAGCAAATGTAATAAAAACAAGGATAAGTCGCTGGGACCTAATTTAAACTAAAAAGCTTTTGCATGGCAAAAGAAACAGCAAACAGACAACCCACAGAGTGGTAGAAAATCTTCACAATCTATACATCTGACAAAGGGCTAATATCCAGAATCTGTAACAAATTCGAATCAGTAAGAAAAATACAATCCCATCAAAAAGCGGCCTAAGGACATGAATAGACAGTTCTCGAAAGGAAATATACAAACGACCAACAAACATATGAAAAATGCTAACATTACGAATGATTAGGGAAGTGCAAATCAAAACCACATGTGATACCGTCTTACTCTTGCAACAATGGTAATAATAAAAAAAATTTTAAAAATAGTACATGTTGGCATGGATGTGTTGATCGGGGAACACTTGTACACTGCTGATGGGGATGTAAACAAGTACAGCCACTATGAAAAATAGTGTGGAGATTCCTTAAATAACTAAAAGTAGAACTACCACTTGATCCAGCAATCCCATTACTGGGTATCTATTCAGAGGAAAATAAGTCATTATTCAAAAAAGATACTTGCACCTGCATGTTTATAGCAGCACAATTCACAATTGCAAAATCGTGGAACCAACCCAAATGCCCATCACTGAATGAGTGGTTAAAGAAACTGTGGTGCGTGTGTGTGTGCGTGTGTGTGTGTGTGTGTGTATATGCATATACATATATGTGTGTGTGTGTCTATATATATGTATGTATATATGATGGAGTACTACTCAGTCATAAAAAGGAATGAATTAATAGCATTTGCAGTGACTTGAATGAGATTGGAGACTATTATTCTAAGTAAAGTAACTCAGGAATGGAAAACCAAACATCGCACGTTCTCACTGATAAGTGGGAGATAATCTATGAGGACCCACACAGGCATTAGAATGATATAATGGACTTTGGGGACTTTTGGGGAAGGTTGGGGGGAGGGATAAAAGACTACAAATAGGGTATGGTGTATACTGCTCAGGTGATGGGTGCACCACAATCTCACAAATCACCACTAAAGAACTTACCTATGTAACCAAATACCACCCGTACCCCAAATAACTTATGGAAAAATAAAAAATAAATGCATCTGGTTAATAGAGAAACATATTATTTGTGTAAATTGAAACAGTGAGATTTTAAGTACCACAAAGATTTTTTAATAAGAAATCAAAAGTGCTTAGATTAAGTATAATCTCATAACATTTTTATGAGTTCCCAAATAATTGCAATATAAGCATATTGAATAAAATTACCCATTTCTAACGTTTCGGTATCCATTGCTAACACATTCTAAAATTATCATAACTATCTGAATACTACATTAAATACATGCAAAATACTTTCCTATAGTCTTCTCATTTAGTGTAGAAGGAATTGGTGTATTGAAATGACATTCACATCCCAGCAATTAAAATAATATGATTTAGATTATGTTATTTGATGTGATGATGTAAACCAGGACTTTGCATTGTAATTTCATGTATTTAGAAACATTAGTCATTATCTGTTTAAATATGGCTTCTCCCACATTCTGGGATGCATATATAGTAGACCATTTTACTATGTTTTCTATCTTTTTGTGTCTCCATGTTTCATTCCAGGTATTTGCTTCTGAATCTTAAGGTTTAGTAATTCTCTATTTACCCCTGTCAAATTTGCTGTTAAACCCATGCACTTAGTTCTTACTTTTCACTTACTATATCTTTAATTCTAGAATTTCTTTGGGATTATCCATAAAATGTTTTGTCCTTTTTATAGTTTACAGTTCTCTGCAGCATTCTCAATCTTGTGTCTAATCTCTTTCAACATGGTCAATGTAGCTACTTAAGTCACATTTCATATATATACATATACACACATACTTTAAAACATATAAACTTGTATGTATACACATACTGTATATCTCTGTATAATACTTTCCCTAATATACTTATGTATTATAATTGTGCATATAAAAGTATATACATACACACACACATATGCCTCTTTAATAGCCTGTTTTCTCAATTGCAATTGGGATTAACAATGTATGTACCTCACAGGTTTATTATATGAGTTAAGAATGATAATATATATATAGGATTATTATTAGAGTTCTTGATACATATAAAGCATACATAAATGGGTTTTGTTTCAGTAAAATTAGACATGACATGATGTAATTTAAAAATCAAGGGCTTTGGATAATGATACTATTTTTTTCCAAAGGCAAATGATAACACTGAAAGACAGTAGCCTTTCAATATCAGATACAATTGGACTCTGCTCGGTTTCTCCAAATACCATCTGTATCACCTTGGGCAAATGACTCAACTTCTCTGTTTTTCTGTTTCCTGACCTTATAAAATGAATTGAACAATATAGATTTTCCAGGTGGTTTTGTGAATTTAATGTAACATATATAAGGACCCTGGCATACTACGCATGTAGCAGGAATATATCTTCATAATCATAATCATATTCAAATACATTTTTCAGATGTTCTAATTTTGTTAAGATTTGAAACTAGTGATATAATTGAGTTTGCTGACAATGTAGGAACACATGGCAAAGTGTGAAACAGTTAAGTGATTCTCATTATTTTTTCCCTTATGATAAAGTTTTTGACACTTTGCCACCCATGCGCTATCAGGAGACGATGAGTGCCATCAGGACATGGGTCCAGCAGTCAGAAACCAAACTCTCCATACCTCAACTTAGTGTCACCGACTATGAAATCATGGAGCAGAGACTCGGGGAATTGCAGGTCTGTGAATATTTGAATGTCAAAGCAATAAAGCATGCTTATCAAGCATTCACATTGATAGAACCTTTAAATAATAATAGAATTTAATTCTGGCAAGTATGGTAGTTTGCCCATTGAGCAAATGAAAATGAGAGTTTAAAGTATTATTTATGCATACACTCTATCTACGGATATATGTATACAGGCATATATATATATGCAGTTTTTGAAAACAATTGTGTGATCTATTTATGAAGTATATTTTTAATTTAGCATGCATTTTCAGACGTATTGATTTTGATTATTAGAAACACCATTGTTTTATTCTCCACTTTTGCTTCTTTATTTGTAACTCCTGTCACATTCTCAAACATACGGGTAAAATCAGTGTACAGTCATCCCTTTGTATCCATGGGGAATTGGTTCCAGGAACTCCTATGAATATCAGAATCCACAGATGCTCAAGTCCTTGATATGAATGGTGTAATATTTGCATATAACTTACGCACATCGTCCCATATACTTTAACTCATCTCTGGATTACTTCTAATATCTAATACAATGTAAATACTCTGAAAATAGATGTTATACTGTATTATTTAGGAAGTAGTGACAATGAAAAAGTCTTACATGTTGAGTACGGTTGTAATTATTTTTTTCGAATATTATCTATTAGTAGTTGATTGAATCCACTGATTCAGAATCCACAAATATGGAGGTCTGCCTATATTTATAAAATTAGTTTAAACTTAAACATTAATTTTATGTAATAATGTAATGAGATATTTGAATTCTAATAGCTACATTTTTTAACATCCTTGTATCAGGAAAGATATACTAATATGGGAAATGAAAGAAATAATTTGTAAGAGATGTTAGAATACTTTCCCTACTTTATTTGTTTTATTTTATTTTTAGACAGAGTTTCACTCTTGTTGCCTAGGCTGGAGTACAGTAGTGCTATCTTGGCTCACTGCAACCTACGCCTCCCAGGTTCAAGCGATTCCCCTGCCTTAGCCTCCTGAGTAGCTGGAATTACAGGCACGCGCCACCCCGCCCAGCTAACTTTTGTATTTTTTAAGTGGAGATGGAGTTTCACTATGTTGGCCAGGCTGGTCTCAAACTCCTGACCTCAGATGATATGTCTGCCTCAGCCTCCCAAAGTGCTGGGATTACAGGCATGAGCCACTGTGTCCAGCCCTTTTCCTACTAATTTTAAAATACTGCATAATATATTCAATAACTTTTTATTTCTTAAGACATGAAAACATATGAGTTATATTTAGAAGCTGAGATAATATGTGCCCTTTAAGAAAAATGTTTTAAAAATTCAAATTTTAACTTTATCGTATAGAATCTTTTCCTGAGAATTAAATATTTTTTTGAAGTAATGTATTCAAAGGAAAATATATTTAAGCAGCTTTCATTATATATTGTCCTATTTAGATATTCTGTGATACCAAATGGTAGTTGTTTAGCCTTTTTTGTTTCCTTTTGTTGCAGTTTTTAATGCTTGGCATAATGATTCCAAAGTCTATTTGGAAAAATGTGTGGCCTAATAGAACTAGTAAACTTTAAAAAATAAGAATAAAAACGTGCAACAATAAGCAAAGTGAAGAAAACACACAAGAAAAGGCAATTAGATGAGCAGAAGACACTATTTCCACTGAAAAAAATAGGAAAGAAAATAATCGTTCATAAATATTATTGGGAAATGTATTAATTAACAAAAAAATAAGGTATGAACATTTCCCCCAAAGTTACACCAAAATAAAAACCACATACAATAGAATGTTCAAAAATGTGGGGAAGTGTAAACTTTGGAAAATGTTTAAAATAATAATGTTATAAAAATTGAGGTAGAGAAGCTTAAAAATCAATGGAAGCAATCACAGTCATTGTAAAAACACCAGAGACAATTTTAAAGAAATATGATACCAAGGAAACTTTCTTTTTTTTTTTTTTTTTCTGTGAGTAAGGAAGAAAGTCTTGAGTAAGATATCCTCCAAAAAGAGACATATATGAATAATAAATCTATGAATAATTGTAACTTAAATTGTAAAGGAAGAAGTAAAAAAAAGTTACAAAATGAGGTAACTTTTTTACATACTAAATTGTGTACACACACACAAAAGATATAAGTATGGATTTGGAAGTGGTGAACTAAAAATTCTCTCTTACTGCTGGAAATGTAAACTCAATATGAATTTTACTGAGGTTAACACTTCAGTGCATCCTAATAACATACAACAATGTTAATATAATTTCCAGGAAGTCTATATCTTACAGAAATAATCAGAATACACTCAAAGATGTAAATGGAACTGGAGATAGATAGGACATTGAAGGATGGATGGATAGATAGATAGGTAGGTAGTTAGAGATAAACATAATTTACATGAGTGGAAAACTAGAAATCAATTTGTAGAACTAATAATGGAAATTGTTAAACTAGAGAAGCCATAACAATTTTTGTTTTTGAAAAAACAAAAAATTGACAAGGGCAAATGCTCCCAATAAAATAACCTAGCTCAAAGTGTAGTTACATGCTAGATATTGTCTAAATAATCAGTCATAGGGGAACAATTTAAAACAGTGAAATAAAAGTAAAGTAAAAATAAACAAGTTGGCTGGGCGCGGTGGCTCAAGCCTGTAATCCCAGCACTTTGGGAGGCCGAGACAGGTGGATCACGAGGTCAGGAGATCGAGACCATCCTGGCTAACACGGTGAAACCCCATCTCTACTAAAAAATACAAAAAATTAGCCGGGCGAGGTGGCGGGCGCCTGTAGTCCCAGCTACTCGGGAGGCTGAGGCAGGAGAATGGCGTAAACCCAGGAGGCAGAGCTTGCAGTGAGCTAAGATGCGGCCACTGTACTCCAGCCTGGGCGACAGAGCAAGACTCTGTCTCAAAAAAAAAAAAACAAAAAAAAAACAAAAAAAAAACCACAACAAGTTAAGTACCACCAAATAGGCATAGGCTACTATGAAACTATAAAAGTTAGATGTTTGACAAATTTTGGTTGATATAGGTCAAATTATGTGAGAAAGAATAACTGGGTATGTGTGCATATATGATCATATATTTAATATTTAGCTATACATAGAACAAATTGATAATTTATATAAAATGTAGTTCTTTTTTTCATTTTTTTAATGAACCTTTATTATTTTATAAAGAGAAAGTTACATTTAAGTAAATATTGAACAGGGGAAGCCTAAAGTTGTCATCCAATGTAAGAAATTTCATGTGTCATACAGAAGAAGTATAAATAAATTTTATAAATTCTCCACAAAATTATCCTTGAATCCCACCATAATACTACATAACAGAATAACATTTTTTGAAAATATGAAACATTAAGTACATATTCGGTAAGTTTTTCTATTGCATATATCAATATTATTAGCTATAGTTTTACGTAGAGTTTACTTTCCTGAAAGTTCAGTATAATTAACTTCAACTCCATTAACTGTATCACAACTGCTGTTAGTTATATATATATACTTAATTCAGTAAAATTAGATGCACCAAAACTCTTTGGCTCTGTAAGATATAGTTTTGAGATATATTTGACATTGTTTAGAAAAATGCATAGGGAGTGTTAAATAAAATATCACTAAGTAATATGCAGGTTACTCTTAGGATAATATGTAAAATTTAAATTACCACTAGATGTTTATAACTGATATAAGATCATCTACTTTGTTTACATGTTTGAATCATAGATTTCATTTTAAGTATAGTTAATTTAACGAAAACTCATCAATTATTCATCAATTAGTATAAATGTATTTAAAAAATTGTTTTTGAGGTTTTACAAAGTTCTCTGCAAGAGCAACAAAGTGGCCTAAACTATCTCAGCACCACTGTGACAGAGATGTCAAAGAAAGCCCCCTCTGAAATCAGCCGAAAATATCAATTAGAATTTGAAGAAATTGAGACACGCTGGAAGAAGCTCTCCTCCCAGCTAGTCGAGCATTGTCAAAAGCTAGAGGAGCAAATGAATAAACTCCGAAAAATTCAGGTAATTCAAGATTTTACTTTCTACACTCATTTTTATGTACTTGTTATTTTCCTAACAATACACTGTAAACTGTAAAGGTACGCAAACATTTGACCTCCAGCATCTTTCAAAGTTAGTGATAAGATGAAAAGACATGAGTCTTTTACAAAGGATGGTGATTTGCTTATTCCTTCTAAGAAAAGAATAAGAGTTTTCTCAGTTTTTTGTAGAATTAATTTGCTATTTTCACCATTACCAATAGGAATTAAACATGTTTTTAGTTTAATGATTTTCAAAACCAATCATTCATTTAGTCTGGTTGTCTTTTAAGATACAGGTAATCATTTATCTTATGACTAGGAAACAGTTATGTATATATACATTATACAGATGTATAATGTAATCAGTATATGTATAATGTATAGTATGTGTATTATTATTTCCTATATTACCTTTTGTTTCTGCTGTTTTGCTATTATAAAAAGTATGAGTAAACTATGCTGTCTACATGTGCTATTATATATATAAAATACAGTGATATAATCATAAAATTGTATTATATATTAATCCCATTATGTATAACTCCATATATGTATATGTGTAGGAGAAATGTAGGTGTATTAATGTCCTGTGACACTCCTAAGAAATTACCACAAATTTAATGGCTTCAAACAACATAATTTATTATATTACAGTTCTGGAGGTCAGAAGTTCAGAATTAGTCTCTGAGGGCTAAAATTAAGGTGTTAGCAGAACTGTGTCTGTTTTGGAGGCTTTAAAAAAGAATGTGTTTTATTGGCATTTTTAGCTTCCATATGTATGTATATACACACACACATATAATGTGTACATATGTGTATATATGTGCATATAATTGAATTATATATCATGTACATATATACATATCTAAAGTAATCATATATCACATATGTAACATGTTATGTATATTAATGTTACATATGTAAGATATAGTAATAAATTATTTTATCACCATATTGAATTTGTAATTATATGCTTAAATTTTACCCCATCACCTTCTTCCTGAAACCAAATCCTCTTGACTTAATTTGTTTGAATAGTGCCATCATAGTAATAACCACTCAAACTAAAGAAAAACAGTAAACCAACAATTGCATTAAGATCTAAAAGCCTGAATTATTCAGTGAAGTAAGTAATGTGTCCCTTGAGTGATCAATTATTGTGAAAAATGTTAATACTGGAAAGGAAATGTCAAAAACATTATGGTATGATGGAAAAACATTGCAACAAGATGCTCCTGGATTTAAATTCCAGCCTAGCTACTTAGTTTTTGTGCTTACCTTTTACAAACCAAAGCGCTAAGCAAACCTAAAACATTCTTAAATGCATAGCATGTCTTTACTTATAAACATATGTGTACATGCATACCTATGTAAATACTGCATGAAAATATCTATTATTTACCACGACCAGTGGCCTAAGAGGACACAATTACATGCCTCTTGTCATCAGTGAGTCCACATTCTAGCGAAGGAGGAATGTAGATATATTCATTTCCTATGGCATCCTAACAAACTGCCAGAAATTTAATAGCTTCAAACAACACAAATTTATTACAGTTCTGGAAGTCAGAAGCTCAGAATTAGTCTCAGTGGGCTAAAATTAAGGTGTCAGCAGGACTGTGTGTGTTTTGGAGGCTTTGAGAGAGTCTGTTTTTTGGCATTTTTAGCTTCTAGAAGCATTCCTTGGCTCATGTCCCCATCCTCCATCTTCAATGTCAGCAGTGTAACATCGTCCAGTGTCAGTTTCTCTCTCCCTCTCTATCTCCATCTCCCTCTCATTCTACCTCTCCTCCTCCTCTTCCTCTCCCTGTCCTGTTCCTTGTGTTGACTTCCTTTTAATTAGGACCTTTGTGATTACATTATGCCCAGGTGGATGATCCAGTATAATCTCCCCATCTCAAAATCCTTAAAGTAATCACATCTGCAAAGTCCTTTCTGTCATGTTGGGTAATGTACTCACAGGTTTCAGAGATTAGGGTGTAGACATCTTGGGGGTAACATTATTCAGCCTTCCATGGTAAATAAAGCAATATGGGAAAGGTTGTCACAGTAGGCAGGAAGGAAATCTAACATAAACTAGAAAAAAAGATTATGAAATATTATTGGAACATAGATTATCTCTGCTATAGATTGAATAGGTAGAATTTAGTTAGATAATACCGAGAAAGGAAGAGTTCTTGAGAAAGCATCGCAGCATTTTCAGTTAACTGGAATAAGTTCAACATTGGGGAGAAAATATATATGGGGATTAATAAAATATTATGGTTGGAAAACTGGTTTGGGAGTAGACAGTGAATGGCCTTGGATGCCACGTTTTACAATCTGAGTTTTAATCTAATGGTAATGAGAGTGATAACAATAACAATAAGAAAAAACTGCTATTGGTTAAAGAGGGAAATAATATGATTCCACTTGTGTTTTCAAAACACTCCCATGGCAAGAGGAAGGAGGAGAAGAGAAGATTCCTGGCTTCACTGTAGATCAATAATTAGAATGAGGTAAGACCGAGGCAGATATCAAAATGAGCCAGTGCATTAATGGTGTCAGTAATAAGACCTGAACAGACCAGGCATAGTGGCTCACGCCTGTAATCCCAGCACTGTGAGAGGCCGAGGTGGGTAGATCACGAGGTCCAGAGATCAAGACCATCCTGGCCAACATGGTGAAACCTCGTCTCTACTAAAAATACAAAAATTAGCTGGGCGTGGTGGTGCACACCTGTAGTCCCAGCTACTTGGGAGGCTGAGGCAGGACTAATCACTTGAATCTGGGAGGTGGAGGCTACAGTGAGCCAAGATTGTGCCACTTCACTCCAGCCTGGGTGACGGAGCAAGACTCCGTCTCAAAAAAAAAAAAAAAAAAACACCTGAGCAAGGACAGTGAAGATGTGGAAAAAGATCAAATGTAGACTTGAAAGATAACAGCAAGGTGATCATGTTGAAGTTCTCTGACTTAGATAAGTACTTTAAAAATTCTTATTAATCATCATATTAAAGGGGAAACTTTCTGTGGAGCATGTATTTTCAATATACATTTAAGTAGATTGGAAGAAAACTCATGTAGACAGTAGAGTTTAATCATACTTTTTAAAAGTAGCGAAACAGCAGAAAAAAGGTAATATGGCAAAGAATCATGGATGAGAGATATTGGCTATTTATAAATGATAGAAGATGATGATTTTTACCTGATCATTACTACATACTGGTCAGACAAATAAAAACAAAAGCTCTCTCTTCTAAGATGACAAAATCTTAGTCCGAAAGTTCACAACTGGAGGGACTATTTAAACTGTCATCTGTAGAAAACAATTTGTGAAGTTCGAGTTTAGGGAGGCTATAAAGACACCATTACATTGAGTTTATTGTTCATAGTTTGTTTTATGTACTGTAAGGGCATATTGTTAGTATTCTCATGAGTTGTTTTGTAACTTAAAGTTTCTCTAGAGGGGGATATGATTTAATGTTCTTGAGAGTAACATCATAAAACTACATTTGGTAGTAATTTTTTATTTTTAACAATAGCAGACTTCACACACCAGTGCTCATACAGTAGACCATAAAAACGCAGTCTTAGTAAAAATATTCTTTTCCTCAAGAGCTACTTAGAGACATCCTTTAAACATGGGAATCGTTTTTGGGCTTGTGTTTAGACATAACACAATGATGAATTGTATTAGAAGTAATCAGCACACCAGTAATGCCTTATAATGGGTCTCGTTTCAGAATCACATACAAACCCTGAAGAAATGGATGGCTGAAGTTGATGTTTTTCTGAAGGAGGAATGGCCTGCCCTTGGGGATTCAGAGATTCTAAAAAAGCAGCTGAAACAGTGCAGAGTACGATTTTTATATGATGTCTTTAATATGAATAATTTTGTATGAATATTACTTGGTTAGATCAGTGTTTTACAGCTGGGGTGGATTTTGCCCTCCCCTCCCCAGCAGATGTTTTTTTTTAATGCTTGTAGACTTTTTTGATTGTCATAACTGGGTTGGGGGTGGTGGTTAGATGCTACTGATGTCTAGTAGGTAGAGGACAGAGATGCTGCTAAGTATCTTTCAGTCCATAGAACAGCCCTCCACAACAAGGAACTGCACAATCTAAAATGTCACTAGTGCCAATGTTGAGAAACCCTGGGTTGAGTAAGTGAGGAATTGACAAAGCATTGCCTTGTACTCAACGTCACTTGATAACATTATTTTGCTATAAAATGCAGTATAATTTAAAGGTAAAGAATCCTTTGAGCTACTTGTTATTTCTTACAACAAATTATTATTCATACTGTGTTGTTCTCTTCATGTATAATGCACTGTACTATAACACAGTATGTAGTTTTGAAATAATATTCAGTATACCATTGTCATGCAGCAGGAAGAAAATAATCTTGCTCTTTCAAGAATTTTTTTTACAATACAAGCTAAAAAAGCAAATCCACCTTCACACCCATTACACTGTAAACAATTATCTGCAATATCCTGCGTTTGAAAATGAAAATACTAACCAAGATAGTAAAGTATGAAGCCCATTTTCACACATTTTTCTAACCAGAAATATTAGATTTATTTCCTTTTGTTTCTGATATAAGTAAAATACAAATAATTCCCCACTGGATTCATGCCATAATAACCATTGAACATTTTTGCAAGACTGTTATGCAGTTATCTATATCAATATATTTGTATCTCAGATTTTAAAAGACAAAATTCCATATGCGATGCCATCAGTCCTAATTTTACATTTTCTAGCTATGTTGCATATTTAATATGTGGCAGTAATTTTTTCAGCTGGCTTAAATTGATTCATTTTCTTAGCTTTTAGTCAATGATATTCAGACAATTCAGCCCAGTCTAAACAGTGTCAATGAAGGTGGGCAGAAGATAAAGAATGAAGCAGAGCCAGAGTTTGCTTTGAGACTTGAGATAGAACTGAAAGAACTTAACTCTCAGTGGGATCACATGTGCCAACAGGTATGGACAATGTCTTTCACTGTGGCTAGCCTCAATGTAGTTAAGATTTCCTAATGTCTCCCTTCACCGTTACTTTTGTTTAAGGTTTTGTTCCTACGCTGTTGCTTTAAAGCACAATTAATTCTGACAAATTAATCTTTTTTCTAGCATATATAAATATTTTCATAGTATGTATTTTAAATAGTACACATTCATCTTATTGTGGTCCTAAAATGACTTTCTTGAACACAGCTGTCATACTGAAAAATGAAATCCTATTCGTAGTCATTATTTCCAATCCACGTTTTCTTCAGAACATAAATGTATAATAATAGATTAAGAAAAATATATTTCACAGGGATATTTAGTACAAAATAAAATGAATGGGTAATATATGTGTATGTAGAAATAGGGTAAATAATTTTTACTTTTGATTAACATTTCCAAGTTTGGCCTCTTCAATACATTTATTATTTATTTATTTTATTTTTTGGGACAGGGTCTCCCTCTGTGCCTCTGTCACCCAAACTAGAGTGCAGTTATGTGAACTCGGCTCACTGCAGCCTCAACCTCCTGGGGTCAAGCAATTATCTCATCTCAGCCCCCACAAGTAGCTGGAACTACAGGCGTGTGCCACGATGCCTGGCTAGTTTTTGTTATTTTTTGGTAGCAACAGGGTCTTGCTATGTTTCCCAGGCTGCTTTTGAATTACTAGTCTCAAACAATGCTCTTTCCTTGGCCTCCCCAAGTGCTGGAGTTACAGGTGTGAGCCACCACACCCGGCCGACATCTATTTTTAAATAACAATTAAGATTCAGTAACCATTAAGAATAGCTGAATAAAAAAAAAACCACAAAATGACTGTACACTCATATTTGAGTTTCTCATTTTTCTACAGAAGAATATTTTATAGATACCTATTTTATAGTTAAATATTAAATGATGGATAGTAAGATACATTAAAAAATAGTGTATATCAAATAATTTGTGTTCAGAAGGTAAAATTTTGAACTAAAGCAATGAATACTTTTAAGTCACCAACACATTAGTCCCTGATGATCTGCAGTTTTGCTTTCCATGGTTTCAAATGCTTGTGGTCAGTTGGAATCCTAAAATCGGCGAGCACAGTAAAATAAGATATTTTGAGAGGGAGAGAAAGAGAGATAACTTGTTCTGTTTTATTAGCTGTTAATCTCTTACTATGCCTAATTTATAAATTAAATTTTATCATTTGTATGTATGAATAGAAAAAAACCTGGTGTATATAGGGTTAGGTATTATCTATGGTTTCAGGCATCTACTGGAGGTCTTGGTATGAAAATGCCTTCCACAGATACAAGGGAACTACTGTGCCTTTTTGGAAATTAATAAGGAGTTTCAATTTACGTGTTAGAGGCAGTCAGTCTCTCGTTACTGCTAAGTAAACTTTCAAAATAGAAAAGAAGTAATGTCAAAAGGCAAAAGCTACATTTGAAAATGAAAAAAAAATTAGAAAAGTCAAGGCAAATCACTCAGCTAATACAATCACTGACAAATGTTCATTGGTTCTATTAATTCATAGATGAGCTATCCCTGGGTCAGCTAGCTCATATTCTTCTTCTGAAGTAAGTCAGTGCTAGAAGAGTTGTTCAGGAAAAAAAAAATTATATTACTTAAATAGTAGATTATACTACTGATGTTTTCCTGGAAGGCCAGTATGAAAGGTATTTGTTTTTTGTTTGTTGAATGTTCTTAATGGATGAATAGAAAGAACACCAATTTTTGTAGAGCAAGGAGAAAACAGCAAATAAATGAATAAATAAATAAAATAAATTTTTAAAGGTATAAAACTAACAATATTACTAAAACCTCAAGGTTTTTACATTTTATAGGAATACAATTTGTAAAGGCTGTCTACTCTTAAAATTTCTTAAGACCTTATGTCTGTTATATGTACTAAGAATTTGTTGTTCAAGAGAAATATTTTAAATACATTCATCTGTTGCATAACAGAAGAGCTATAGATCAAGCTATGTTCTGATCCCCATTTTCTAATCTTAGAGTATTATATGTATCTGTGCTTTTCCTTCGAGTATCACTCTGGCCATGTTATAACTTTGTAGATAAATGAGTTAGGTTGTGAAAGGAAGGAACAATGCACTCATGTAGAAGAGGAACAAGATGCCGTAAAAACAAGGAAGCCAGATGTGAATACTGGTACCAATTCAGCGTTCCAGAGAGAAGAATGGAAATGAAGTGTAAATCTATGCATTACAGAAATATCTACAGATAAAATAAGTGTGTGATACAGTCTTTTGGGTTAAAGATAATTCCTTATTTGTCACCAGATGCCAATGTCTGCAAAAACATAAATAATTTGGAACAAAATTGTCCAAATATCTGATATATTTGAGGATGTTTTGACATCCCATGATCTAATTTTGGATGTATAAAATGATTATGATTATTTTAAATTCTAAAGGGTATGTATCTAAGTTTTTAAAAATCTAGATTCTAGCTATTAAAAAATTATCAGATATAAGTGGGGAATAAAATAGACATCGTACTTATCCTCATGGAGATAACAGTTTAGTGGTGAAAACGGAAAGTAAATGGGTAAACACATTATCACAACAATGTCTGGTTTTCAGTCTTGCTATACACTCTGAATGTACCAGTAAGAACCCTTTAAATGAGAGTAACAGGAGCAGGAAAACTACTTTCCATTGGGTAGTCAGTAGAGTCTTTTCTGAAGAGGTGAAATTAAAGCTGATACCTCAGTAGTAGGAACTTGACAATTTGCTGTGTGACGGAATTCTGGCTAGAAAATGAAGTGGAGGAAACATCTGAGACAAGAGAGAGCTTAACATGTTTGAGGAGCCAAAGGAAGCCACTGGAAGAGGAGCAGCATGAGCCAGGAGAAAAAGAAAGGGAAAATGAGTCAGAAAGGAATATGGAAGTCACAGTGATGATTTACTCATTATGTCAAGTACTTTGGAAAGTCATCTGACTTTTAGGCACAGGACTGGCATCACTTCATTTCATTTAAAACAGTTGTTTAAAGTTTGCTGTATATTCCTATTAGAAGAATAATAAATCAAAAGGGCTAAAGTGGAAGCAGGTAGGGATTGCAGTTGTCCAGGTAGAATAAAAAACACGCAGGAAAAAGGGGATGTTTGTGGATATTGTACTTTTCTGAGGAACCTCCATGCTGTTCTCTACAGTGACTGTACCAGTTTATAGTCCCACTAACAATGTAATATAGTTCCCTTTTACCTGCACCCATGCCAACAATTATTTTTTGTGTCTTTTTGGCAATATACATCCTAGCTAGGGTGAGATACCTCATTGTGGTTTTGGTTTGCATTTATCTAATGATTACCGATGTTGAAATTTTTTTCATACATTCATTGGCCTTTTTTTTTTTTTTTTTTTGTTTTTTTTTTTGAGACGAGTCTGTCTGTGTCTCCCAGGCTGGAGTGCAGTGGCCTGATCTGGCTCACTGCAAGCTCCGCCTCCAGGTTCACGCCATTCTCCCCCTCAGCCTCCCAAGCAGCTGACTACAGCCCCCGCCACCCCAAGCCGGCTAGTTTTTTGTATTTTTTTTAGTAGAGACGCGGATTTCACCATGTTAGCCAGGATAGTCTCGATCTCCTGACCTCGTGATCCACCCGCCTCGGCCTCCCAAAATGCTGGGATTTACAGGCTGAGCACCGCGCCCAGCCTCAATGGCCATTTTGTCTTCTTTTGGAGAATACCTGCTCAGATTATTTTCCCTTTTTTTTTTTTTTTTAAATTAAAGTTCTAGGGTACATGTGCATAACGTGCAGGTTTGTTATATGTGTATACTTGTGCCATGTTAGTGTGCCTGCACCCATTCAACTCGTCATTTACATCACGTATACATGTAATCCCTCCCCCATCCCCTCCCCGTGATAGGCAGTGTGTGAGTTCCCCTTCTCGAGTCCAAGTGATCTCATTGTTCAGTTCCCACCTATGAGTGAGAACATGCGGGTGTTGGTTTTCTGTTCTTGCGATAGGTTGTTGCTAGAATGTATGGTTTCCAGCTGCATCCATGTCCCTACAAAGGACACAAACTCATCCTTTTTATGCTGCATAGTAATTCCATGGTGTATATGTGCCACCCCATTTTCTTAATCCAGTCTGTCACTGTGGGACATTTCGGTTGATTTCCAAGTCTTTGCTATTGTGAATTAGTGCCGCAATAAACAGTAGTGTCATGTGTCTTTATAGCAGCATGATTTATAAACCTTTGCGTATATACCCAGTAATGGGATGGCTGGGTCATATGGTACTTCTAGTTCTAGACTCTTGAGGAATCGCCATACTGTTTTCCACAATGGTTTAACCAGTTTTACAATCCACCAACAGTGTAAAAGTTTCCTATTTCTCCACATCCTCTTCAGCACCTGTTGTCCGGACTTTTTAATGATTGACATTCTAACGTGTGAGATGGTATCTCATGTGGTTTGATTTGCATTTCTCCTGATGGCCAGTTTGATGAGCATTTATTTTGTGTCTGTTGGCTGCATTGTCGTCTTTTGAGAATGTTCTGTTCATATCCCTCGTCCAGCTTTTTGATGGTGGTTGTTTGTTTTCTTCTTGTAAATTGTCTGAGTCTTTGTAGATTCTGGAATATGGCCCTTTGTCAGATGGGTGAGTTGCAAAAATTTTCTCCCATTCTGTAGGTTGCCGTTCACTCTGTAGTAGGTTTCTGCTGTGCAAGAAGTGCTTAGTTTAATTGGATCCCATTTGTCAATTTTGGCTTGCTGCCATTGCTTTTGGTGTTTTAGACATGAAGTCCTTGGCCCATGTCTATGTCCGCTATGTATTGCTACGCTTCTCAGGTTATGGTTTGTCAACATTTAAGTTCTTGTATCCACCTTGATTAATTTGTATTAATAGGTGTAAAAGGGATCAGGTTTCGCCTTTCTACATATCGGCTATCCAGTTTTCCCAGCACCATTTATTAAATAGGGCGGTCCTTTCCCCATTTTCTTGGTTTTGTCAGGGTTTGTAAA